TGATGGGAGTTTAATTCTTGTACCACTTTACAAAATCCCAGTAACCACAATACTTTGTAATGTGTTATATATAAGAATAGCAGATTTTGATATATTAAAAAAATACTCACTAAGAAACCAACATGCAAAATGTGTTTACCTTGAGATCGTTGTCAGAATAATTGTCAGGTCTTATAAGGCATAATGCATGATCGGTGTTGCATTATGTCCCTTAAAGTATGCAATGACTGAACTAGTCTGATCCAATACCTAGGGAATATCTCAGAGTCTATCGGCTAGCATCGCAATTTTCTTGAAAAAAAATGTCCTGGTCTAGTCACATCCCTGTTGCTTATATATGCCTCGGACACGACATCGATAGTTTGAGACACTCTAACAAGACAGTCATTGTATTACCACGATACGACAGTGATAGTTTGAGACACATTCTAACAAGACAGTCAGTTGAGTCAGTGTATTATCAGGACACTACAGCGATATTTTGAGACACACTCAAACAAGACAGTCAGTGTATTATCAGGACACTACAGCGATATTTTGAGACACACTCAAACAATACAGTCAGTGTATTATCAGGACACTACAGCGATATTTTGAGACACACTCAAACAAGACAGTCAGTGTATTATCATGACACTACAGTGCTATTTTGAGACACACTCTAATAAGACAGTCAGTGTATTACCAGAACACGACAGCACATGAAACACTAATGCTACAACAACAATTTACATTCAGCTATAACACATTCCTTAACTGAACGGGCTTCTTCTCTACATAGGCATTAAATGGATTAATGGATTTATTAACTTTTATTATAAGAGAGACTCGACTTTTAATTTTTATCAAGATCTTTTGTCAACGAAGAAACAAAAGACAATCAGTTTCATTTACATGTGTTTCTTAACGTATGACTTAATAATCATGGGTTTTAAGACATTGTCAACACGAGTATGTGTATTTATATCCGGGTATTCTATTCTTTGGGGGAAAAAAAAAACCCATTCACAAATAATACTTTCAATAGCACACACGGATATTATATTATTTAACCCCCCCCCCCCCCAGTTGTTTTACTTGAGCTGTTTGTTTAAATGTAATCCATAAGGTATTTAATCATTTTAGACAGTTTTAGCAATCGATCTTACATTTCTTAAACTTTCAAGTAATTAAAAAAACATTAACAAAATTTAAAAAGTAAAAAAAATATGTTTACTACTATAGTAAGATGAAACGGGAGGAAAATCGGCTAAATAGAGATTGACGTTACCTTAATAAAGTTGGCAGATAAAGTACCCTTTCGAAACAGGGCTGTCTAAAGGGCAGATACATTCAAGTCAATCTGAGGGTTAGGGCTAGCGAGAGGTCTTGCCGTCTTAAAGAACAACACCGTTATATGTAGCAGGCCAGTGACCGGCAACACAAAATACGGATACATGCTACAATTTATTTTTGCTACACAAATATTTGTTACTTTTTAAATTGTAAAACTTTCACATTATTTGTTCTGAGTTGATACGGCTCTGGAATCGCAGGCTTCCAATTTACTGGTCGAACCTAAAGGGGTTAATTCAGTTTCTTCGTTTAAAACGAGGTAGAGTTAAAAGGGGATCGTCAGTAAATGACGTCACTAACCGTTGATGTAAAATGATAACCGGGTAGTAAAAAAACATGACGTACATTGATCTAGTATTCATTTTGTTTTTCTTCATAAAAAAAAAAAAAAAAAAAAAAAACAAGAAAAAGATGAAAACGTTTTTTTTTTAATTTGATTAATGTTTATTTGAAAGAGAACTTTAGTGATTTTTGTGGGGCCGGGGTGGGGGGGGGGGGGGGGGGGGGCTTTTTATGACGGCGTATGGGGTCGTCAATAAACGTCACACTCGTAGGGGGGGGGTCTGAATTTTGTGACGATGTGTCACAAGGGGGAAGGGAGGGGGGAAAAATCACCAAAATATCGTGACGTCGGTTATGTATGACCCCTTACGCCGATATTTGATATAGAGTTTACAAATAGACTGAATGTGAAATGGTGTGACCCCCCCCTCCCGGATTCTTACATCAGTGACGTCACTACAAAAGTGAAGACCACAGCACTATCTGTACTACCGGAAGTAGCTCGTCACGTGATTGGCTCCATGCGGTTCCGAGCTGGAATGTATTCTTAGAAAAAACTTTGTGCTGTGAGTCAGCTTCTGACACGTAATGTCTTTAACGGGTATCCGCTCTGCACCCCCACCCCCCTCCCTCCCTTTCAAACCTGTGACGAAAATAACGCAGGCGGCTTTTGGCAGACGAAACAATGTGTCAAAACGTATTGTCTAAATTTTCCACCCTCGATTAGTTAGAAAAAAAAAACACTGTTCCAGATCTAGAATGCCAGTAACTGTGATCAGATACCAGGGGCAGTGGGATCTTACACCAAAGGGCAGAGTACGATTCTATGTTTCGGGCAGAATGAGATTCTATACCGTGGGGGGGGGGGGAGATCATATACATAGGGCAGAATGAATCCATATTTCCATAAGCATAGGTCATCTAGACAATTTAAAAAAATGATGTAATACTTATTGCTTACTAAAGAGGTTTGGTTGTGTTTTCTATTGGGGGGGGGGGGGTGAGAGGGGGAGAGATCATATACATAGGGCAGAATGAATCCCTAACTCCATAAGCATAGGTAAACAAGATATTTTTTTTAAAATATTGTAACACTTATTGCTTACTAGATGGGAACGAGTCCCGAACCTTATCGGTGAAGTAGAGTAGAGCAGACGGTGCTTCTTGCTTATGGAGAAAAAAAGGGATAGACACGAGACACATGTCGGGACAGTTTGAGAAAAACATCTTAATACTGGGGATGGGGTGGGTGGGGGGGGGGGGTGTGAGATAAACACCATTACGTCACCAAGCTCATTTTCCCGATACCCTGCTGTAAACGTTATCCCCGACAGTTGATTATTGATATTATATTACCTCTTTTCCCCCCCCCCCTCCCCCACACATACACACCCACGCGTACTAAAATGTAGGTTAATTCGTGAGATTTTATTTTTATTCAACGAATAGCGAGAACAGTTTCAAATTATACCAAATGAGTTAACATATCTTTTAGAAAATAATCAAATGTTTGTAATGAACTACTATTTTAATTAGACTTACATGACCTTAAATATAGCCATCATTAAAGAACGTTCAAGTCTGATTTCTGTACTTAGCGTGTATGATTAGGGTAATGAGTGTATAAGGGAAAGAGTTACACAATGCTCTTCAACTGGCCTATATTTAGCCCACTTGTGCACGTGGTGTATGCTTGATTGGTGGCCACCCAATCAAGTGGACGTGCCTATTTCTTAACCGTTTGAAATTAATGCACGTGAATGTGCTTAACACAGTACCGTTATAAAAAGAAACACAAAGCTCTCCTTTGTCTACATCCTTTTGAACTCATCCTTTTTAAAGTTTCGGTATAACTTAAGTGATTCTTGCAGTTGACAGAGAAAACATACCGTCTGTATCATAATTTATCGCGCACTGGGTTTGTCTTTATTTAATTATAAGTATGTGCATAGACCGCTTTCTTGTGTACCTTTCCCCTCCCACTGCCTCATAATAATTATACTTAAGCAAGGCATTTGGCCAATTTATGACACTAACATTGCATATTAAAATTTTAGACTTTGATTATACCTTAATTAACCTAATGTTGGTTTTAAAAAGTCTTAAATTTAATATTTTTGTTTGGTTACATTTATTTTAACTATGATTTGGATTATACCAATTCATGTGGATAGTTTCGCTTTTAATTTGCTAAATGTTACCTTGTCGTTTTATTAGACAGTTTTATCATACACGATCTCGCCATTTGCATTTATTTTAGTTTAATTACTTTTTCAAAAAATAAAACATTTAGTCAGACCAAAAAAAAAATAATGCATTACATAACTCATCTATCTTCCGCCCCCCCCCCCCTCCTCCCCCAAAAAAAACAGAAAAAAAAAAACCAACCATAAAAAAATAATTTCAAAATAATATTTAGTTGTAAAGACAGAACACAATAACGTTTCAATGCAGCACTAACAATACACTTTCAACAAGTTAAAAGCGCATCTGAATTCGATCATGCTATGAGATCATAGCGTGCATCAAAGATAATCAGTGTTTGAAATCATACTTCCAAAATTAACCGACTTTTTTCCCCTCTTTATACTGAGACGAATTTCTCATCTTTTTATGGCCATGGAATTTCTTTGTAGCTTTAAGCTTTTTAATCTGGTTAATGATGGATGATTAATGAAACCAGCTTTTCTTGTTAGTCATTAGCGTAGATGACGCACACGCCAAATACCGAGATGAGCTGTTAGTTGCACAAATATACACATCCTCCGGGCTCAAAGCTTTTTTTTTTTTAGTAAACAAAAGACTGGGATTTCCAGTCCCAATTTGTTTCGTGCTTGTGCTTTTTTTTTTTAATTTTACACTTTAAAAAATGCGATTACTCTGTACTTATGTTGAAATATGATTTGAATTATACTCAAGATAGCTGGTCTTGTCCAATAGGTCATTTGAAGTTCTAATGTCCTTCCCTTACTGCACGTCCCCCCATTGAGTTTCCCTCTCACCTTCCTCCTAGCCTCATTCATTCTCCGACTTACCTTTTCCCCAACCTGGCCGTGTTACTATTTCTACTCACCCCCCCCCCCTTCCCACCTTTTCTACCCACCTCACGTGTAGGTCAAGGTTGGCGTCTTTTACGTCATTATCCTTTTGCACCTTTCCTTCTGTTTATGAAGAGAGCGGGTGGGTAGTGGGGTGCGTTGAGAATACGTTTCTCACCTGCCTCCACAATTACAAACCCACTGCCTTACGTCATTCCAATCCCATATGTCATCATTTTCACCTCCCCTCCACCTCACTTTTCCTCGAACCGGTCTGACCCAGCCTGGTAGAACTGCGCTCCCTCTCCCAGACTTCCAGTGGTAACCAACGGCGTAACCGTTATCGAATTAGCGCTTCAAGACGCGACTAGTGCCGCAAAGAGGTTATTCATCACAGCTTCTACGAGATGCTGATTGCTGGCGGGTTTCCGTGTTTCTTTTGGCTATTTTCGGTGATTGGTATTTAAAAATATCCGAGGCTCGTCGGGTTGGGCGTGACGAGAGCAGAATGGCGCAGATAGAGACGAAACAAGTTGCTGCAGGGATTCTCACAACAAGTAGAAGTAAGGACCCCAGATGGTTCATACAAACCTTTTTCTTTTTTTTTCTTTTTTTCTTTTTTTTTTTTTTTTTTTTTTGTAAATTTAAAAACTTAAAACAGTGGAGAAAAAGTGCATAGGGAAGTTCCCATATTTCCATTAAGTATTAAGTTGTGAAGGGGGGGGGGGGGGGGGGTAAAATGTCAGCTTCAGGAGTGTGAACGTCTTCTGTTAAGTAATGACATGTACATACATTCTTTTGATCTTCCCCCATAATAACCAAACCGATATCGATGTTAATCATACTTTTGATAGCTCAACCCTAAATCTAAATTACAGGAAACGGCGATGCCGAATATATAACAAAAGCTGTCATGATAAACTTAGAATCAACCAAATAAAACCCGAACTAAAGTTAACGTTGCCTGACAACAGATGACAAAAAATATATGCCTTATTGTATAATGTTGAGTAGATTTATTGTGTGTAACCATTAAAGTGTTAAGATTTTTTTTTCAATTATCATTCTCCTTCCACGAATAGGCCACACGTGTACTGTTTTTGTCTCCATTACCGCTTCAACCTACGAAAACATGGTTTTAACTATCTTCATCACCGCCTCATCCTACGAATATGTATTTTTTTTTCTGTCTTCACAACTGGCCCGTCCCACGAACACACCTGTGTATTTTCTATACCGTGAGATAACACTGAGTGATGTTTCAACACCTAGCCCATCACTAGTCAATAATGTACACACTGTCGACCTGAGCCACATTTTACCCTGTATTTCGCAATCCCCCAACGTGTGCTCACCAACCCTCCCATGCAGAATTTAACCCCCCTCCCTGCTCCTCCATTTTCATTAATTTTGGTGCTCCCCAAATGCTGTCGTCCTCCCACTCTTCCTCCATTACGCAACGACTATTGATGCTTTTGTAATAGCAAAGCAAATGCCCATAGTCACGCAAATATATAAATAGATTTTGGACAAAACAAAACGATGTTTTTTAAATATTTATGAAAATACATGTTAAACCATTATATGCTTAAAACAATCAGACTTTAAAATTCCTAAACGTGTTTTTTAACCGATGCAAAAGGTTTTAACGGCCCATAACCTTCCGCTGCGTTTGATTTGTGCCTGACTTAAATATAGCACCGGATATCTTTGGTCTATTTTTAGAAACTGCGTGATAACGTGCATCAAGAGGCGCAATGCCGTTACCCCATATTGGACACATCACAAACAATAATCTGCTCGTGTGCCAACTTGTTGGGCAGAATTGATCCAAAATCATTTGATTTTTGTTTGCACTTAATGTGATGTCTTTATACTACTATTACATAAACGAAGGAGTCCTAGATTTGCTTACAATTTACTTCTATACATCAGTTTCGTAAATCTTTCTCACCGCTACTTGCGGTCGAATAGTAGAGCATTCTTCTTCTTCGTTCTTAATTATTTGTGTTGAAAGGGATTGAGATTTATCTGCCAGTGGGTTTGAACTCGAGACTTTTTTCGAATGTATCAACCATGAGGTTTTTGCCGACTCGACCACGCCTCCAACACAATTAAGGATACGTGTCAACTGGTTATGCGCCATTGAGGCCATTGACTCCGATTTCAGCCTGCTTTTCTTTATGGATTTGCTTCCATAGCCTTTGTCCAACCAAAAACAAGCTACAAGGCAGTAGTTGTGTGATTTTGGAGTTGTCTCTCCTAGAAGAGTGGCTGTCCCCAGCTAACGAACCTCATCTGCCCGAGGGTTCGAACTCGAGACTTTTCGGTTTAGCAACCCATGAGCTTTACCGACTCGACCACGCCGACCCGTAGAGCATTCGAATGCTATCCCGAAATTCTTGAGTTCTTATCCCGGGCCCTAGTCCGTAGGATGTCCTTAAGTCCACCCAGCTCTGATGGGTACCAGACTCACGTTAGGCAAAATAAAGGCGGCTGGGTAAAGGGCTGACCACACAATCCCTTCATATGCCGAGGTCACCGAAACAGGTGAACTCTTCTCCGCCTTTTCAGTGGACCGTAAGGTTTGAAAGGATACTTTACTTGGAAGCAGGTTTCAACTGTGATAGACTGTGACTTCTACTATGATGGGTTACATGCAGACTATCGGTCCTAAATGGATGACGTTTGTTTAGCACTAATAAACCCTTACTTTTCTTAAGACATACAAAATTTATTTTTTTCAATTCGAACAAACTGTACAATAGACTATTCCACTAACACGCGTTCACTGTTTCTAAAAAGAAGCTAAAGAAAAGTTGGACTACGTGAAGGCAGCGTCACAGGGCTATGTAACTACTGGTTGTTCAATTCTTGCGCATGAGTACAAGGAGGGTCTTGAGATTAAATGGAGATAATTAACCGACTCACAGTGTAGGTGTGAATTATCATGTAGGTGGGTAGACACACACACACACACATCAGGGTGTGGCTGTTTTTTGACGTGGTAAATTTCTATTTGTGTACACAATGATCCTCAAAATATATTGCTGTCTTAATGAATAGCTCGTTCTTTTATTGGTGCGGTCACGAGTGTCCTCAGCTAATGTCGAAGATAGTAACAGTTTGTGATCTACTTAGGTGTGTTGGTTTTAATCGGACTTGTGGTTTTATAATAGGACTGGTGGTTTTATAATGGGTTTGGTGGTTTTAATGGGGTTGGTGGTTTTAATGGGCATGGTGGTTTTAATGGGGTTGGTGGTTTTACTGGGGATGTTGGTTTTAATGGGGTTGGTGGTTTTAATGCGGCTGGTGGTTTTCATGGGTTTGGTGGTTTTAATGGGGTTGGTGGTTTTTAATGTGACTAGTGGTTTTAATGGGGTTGGTGGTTTTAATGGGCATGGTGGTTTTAATGGGGTTGGTGGTTTTACTGGGGATGTTGGTTTTAATGGGGTTGGTGGTTTTAATGCGGCTGGTGGTTTTAATGGGTTTGGTGGTTTTAATGCGGCTGGTGGTTTTAATGGGTTTGGTGGTTTTAATGCGGCTGGTGGTTTTAATGGGTTTGGTGGTTTTAAAGATAAACGGCCATGTTAAATCACAGAGAGTGACTTCCATTGCCACCTAGATTTTTTCAAAACAAAATTTTATTTTCAACCATACAAATATAATGCCACGCCCACATTTCCATGGAGTAAATATTTGGATGTAATCAAACACAAACCATTTGTGTATTTCTCTATCTTAATTGGCCAGGTTTCTGCAAACAATCGGCCAAAGTGTTGCAGATATGCCTGGAATGTAAATAAAACATCTCCCAATATAATTTAAGGGAACAGAAATAACCCTGTTGATAAATCTCGTATTACTTTATACACAAATCTAAAATGATGTGTGTATATATATATATATATATATATATATATATATATATATATATATATATATATATATATATATATTGCTCTATTGTTTTGTTACTTCTTATAAAATTACTACCACATTTAAAATGCATGCAATTTAGCAGGTTATAGTAATGTATGCAATGCTAAGGTGAAACATCTTAAATGGCCTAGTGTGCATATGCGATTTTGTTTATATTATGTTTACTATACAATAAATTATGTTTACAACGTGATACACGAATACATTGCTTTGTACTTTTTCACTCCTAAAGTATTTTTAGCGCAATTTCCATTCTGGAGAATTGCGTTTATTAACGCGTCATTTCTGGGAATGGATGGATGGATGGATGAATGAATGTATGGATGAATGTGTGTCCGGGCTTTAAGTCGTATCTCCTCCTCAACGAAGCAATATCGATGACTAGTTCCAAAAGCAATTATGTTAAGCAAGTTACGAGAATGAGCATAGGCCATAAAAATTCCGGGTTTCTTTCATGTATTTCCCGGAAAAGCCAAAAAACCTCGAACAAATGCAGTTTTTGGCCCATATCTCGGCAACCAGACCACTTAGCGACTTGAAACATGTACCAATCGATTCCTGCCATAATTTAGAACAATATTGCCGAAGAAAGTTTTCAAAAATATCCTCTCGTTTAGTCACAAATTTTAAAATTACATAAACACCTACAAACCGATCGTTCTTCTAGCTTGAACGCATCCCAGCATTATACGTCAGAGCTATTTTTAGATAACATAAGGAAATTGCGCATTAATGTCACTAGACTTTTTAATTAACTTGTTTTCTTCTAAATCATGTATGGCAACATTTTATTTACTAAATGCCGTAAGGGGAGGTGACTCACATGAGTAAACCCATTACATGGTTACAGAGCAGCTGTTTATGTAATGAGTATGTTCCTGGTGGAGGGGTGATTCATAATTAGGAAAAATGTTAAGCTCTGGTTAGGTTATATAATTACCATGCATATGGTATGCTTAGACTAAATGAGGGTGGCGGTCTTAATGGGGTTGAAGCAGGGGCGGAACTACAGTGCCGCCAGACCCCGCAATGCGTGGGGGCCCAGGCCGATTAGGGGCCCGCAGCCGACCATAATCATTTTTTTTTATAGTTAAAAAAATAATTTTCTTGTAAAAAACAAACAGATCTACTACAGTAGTAATGTTCTACAGTAGCTAACACACGCTGTTTCGTAAAGGAAAAAATATATAGGCTACATGAATGTAGTGTAAAAGGCAAATGTTCAAACCATGACTTATTCCCTTTTTTTAAAAGTCAAATATGTGTGATCTTAAGAAACGTATAATAGATTTGCACTAAACAAATTAAAAAGCAATTACTTCTCTAAATTATTTTTTTTTAAATACGCAATAAGAATGACATAGAATAAAAAGGAAATGTATTAAAAACTAATAATATAAACACAAAAAAACATAAAAATAAACATAAGGCGAGAAACCATTCGCTTTTAAAGCTTTCATGCTTCATATTCTTTTGACCGACTTGTAATTTAGGAAGCATTATGTCAGAAATTGAAACAGAGAATTTGAAAACAGGCTAATCGCACTTACACAGATAATGTGTTGTTGTAACATATTTTAATTACAAATAACACCTAAGAATTTTTAATTTTTCAAATTTC